CAAAGAACACTAGCGATTAATAGGCTCATCAATCCATCCTCGTACCTTCAATTTGAGTTGGTTTCACTGTCCGAAGTGCCAAAACACTGATAGTCGTGAGTGCTCTGAGTAACGATACAGAACATCGAAAATCCTCTCGCCGTTTTTTGATCCTATTCCTATTTACACACGCTCAGACATAGATAGACACAGATGCATTAACTCAGTTTACAATTGAGCCTTTTTCTAGTCCATGGCATTTTCAACCTTTGTCAACGTGCTTTTTTCTGCTCTGTTTCCCGCCATCGATCGATTGGCCATTCAAGAAACATCTGTTCTGTCTGAAGGTATCTTTGTGCTAATCAGTGAACGAACTGATGACAAAAATAAAAAGTATGTTTGAAGGACAAATTACAATTTGCCATGTCCAATTGACTAATCTTAATTTTGAAATTATCGGTTACATACCCCGAAAAGAAAATCATTCAGCTGAACGTTTGCAATAAGTTTTCTCATTTAGTCAACTATCAACCGAATCGACGCATGACTCATGTAATATATGAGTAGCTTAGTTGCAACTACCCCGCCTGTAATTCAATATGCTGAAATAAAAGCTTCTGTTTGCGGTCGCCAGGTTCTTTCTAAGTAGACGGTATTTTTGGAACCTATGTCGTGGCATAGAGCCATAGCTAGAGGTAACGCGTTGTGATATATTCGTGCCATGGAGGAGCGCATATTCTGATAAAAAACCAGCCACGTCTGACCTCATGTCGCAGCTTTGGGTTGTACACTTTTTCTTCTTTTGTTTGTTTAACTTCGGAGTTGGTTGCCATTTCACGAAGATTGGACCGTAACGTAAATGTGATTCGTTCTCTCAGCTGGTTGACAGCCATTGTAGTACACGTTTCAGAGTCCCTTCCGTCTATTGTATTTCCAACATTACTCATGCAACTTTGTCAATATCTACCTCTTGGGAATATCCTTGAAGACTGGAGGGTACTATTTGCACCCCTCAACAAATGTACTACCCCCCTCCGCAGATTTCCGGATCATCTCTGCTCTCATGTGCATCATAATAACCATTTCTGAAACTCTTGAGGGCGACGTCGTCAAGGGTGCCCTCTTTCGCCGTTCCTAATCAATTTCACCTTCGACGAAATACTGGAGAACGCACTAAGGAGACTCCAAAATGTAGTTATTGACTGGACAGCTGGAGAAAAGCTGTGCGATTTGGAGTACGCCGATGACATCACTTGTCTGTTGGAATGTTTGGAGGACGCACAAAGTGCACTTGATAGATTAACAAGTACAGTAGCCAATTTCGGTATGTGCTTTGTACCTTCAAAGGGCAAAGTGACGCTGCAGGACTGGGTATCGCCTACTCCCGCTCTGAAACTAAATGGCTACGAATTAGTTATGGTTCACTGTATTTCGCTGTACGATGTGATGTGAAGATGTGAAGAAATTTAATGTCGAATTTTGACTTGATCAGGATTGACGAATAACCTAAATGCTTTATTTTTTAAATGACAGTCAAAAGTTGATTTCGTCATGTATAGGACTCAGTGAGTGTGTACTGAAACGCTCTGAAGCTTTGGAGCTGACCTGATTGGATCTCATCACCAGTACCAATCTTTCGATCCAACTGAAAGTGGTACCCAGTGGAACGCAAGTATACTAATGAATCGGCCGGTGGGTATCGTCGAAGTCCACTATGTAATTGAATATAATCCTCCCCTTCTCTCATGTAGAACGGCGTCATCGATGGGAGAGCATGTTTTCCATGTTGGTCATGTGTAGTTTTATTTTAATGGTCAAATTGGGAAATTTATTTAAAACATTCAATGGAAATGCAGTTGATTAATCCTGAAAGAGCTCCTAATTTATGTTTTGTAGCTCCAGACGATTCGGATACTTTGGCTGTTCTGTCAATAATTTTGATCCACTCTTTGAAGGCATCTGAGGTATGGAAAAGATGTGTGTCCTCGAAAACTTCACTTGAATTACATTGTCTTACACTTTTCACCGCAAATCTTACTCCCGAACAGTTTGCGCATATACAAGAAGTTCCATGCAAAAATCCTACGTGTGCTTAACAACGAACGATAGGCTTCATCTAAACTGATTACTGAGAAATGTTGAATGAGTCAGTTCCTAAATGCGGTTATCAGAAGTCGTTCTCCCGGATTTCGCTTGGCCTCTGTATTATACGTCCCATATTCTTCCACCACTCCTAATCATGTCTGTTTTTTTCCCTTTCGTCATTATTTGTTATTATTCTACTTCTGTTCGCCATGATGACTAATCGGTCACACGCGCCCCGATGGAAGTGAACGAACAATCAATGGGCATGTTTTGTGAACTCATTTGTATCTCCGCTTCAAGGACATGGTTCAGCTGAGCATCAGTTCTGTCGTTCTAGAACACAGCCCTCTCACATCATTTGATAATAGTGCCCAAACTTCACCGTTTTTACCACGCACACCGCCTAACGGTTCAAAATAAAGCAGCTAAAGCCTCTGTACCGTACACATTCGATTCCACCTTTCATTTGTTAGGTGCTCTTTGCCATGTAGTTTTGGTGGTCAACAGCTTTACTGTCATCCGGTTCAATTCCATACTTATCCCAGTGCGACATTATGCATTCTGTTCTTCCATATCCTATGGTTTGGATCCCCGGTTCACGCAAGTCAACAACAGGTTCTCATGATAAAAGATTTGTTCATCACAGAGTAATCCCTGGTAAAAGACCAGAAAAATGTGAGTGTCATACTCCAAAAATATATGAATTCGGTATTCCTAAAGAAGTCCGACCATCTGGGTCTGACGGCTTAAATACTTAACAAAAAAAAGAAGGAAGCCGGGGTCTCATTTATCGAGCTGGAAACCGGAGAGTGATATGTTGGTTGCAATTGTACCGTGAATAATGTACGAGCACCGTATCTGGGGGACAAACGTGTGTTTCACTGAAATGAATCGGTGACTGGTATTTATGACAAGAATGATTTGTATTTCGGACCAAAGTAAACTGAAATAGAAACAGATGACGAACAGAAAAAGTATGTTCAGAATGATTATTATGACCGAATCTGATTGTGAAGTTTAGTCACTTGTGTCCTAAAGGCGTGAGTTTGACCTCTGCATATCACGAAGTTTGTCATTTTTTTCGAATAACACTTCGAGAAGAAGATGCCTAACCTTGCACTAATGAATTGTATCAAGCTTCATCTGTGTCACTTCGACAATGGTACAATCATCTGTGTTCTGTCATCAAGAAGATGATAATTTTTTGAGTTCATCTATGTTTGGCAGTAATTCTTGTGGTATTTTGTCTCATTTTGAGTTGTTTTGTTTTAGGTGCGTTCCTATCTGACATTGGCCAATCAGACGGTTAGCATGTTGTACCATCTGACGTCCGAGATTCGCGGTCCGTTTCTGCGCCCGGAGATAGTCGATAAACTGGCCGCTATGCTAAATTTTAATCTTGTTCAACTTTGTGGGCCACGTTGTAGCTCGTAAGTCATGTGATCGAGCCACGAGGATGTATATTGCAGATAAATTTCTCTTGCTCACACTGCCCAGTTCTGTATTAGTCAAGGTGACTCATGAAATGCTAACTGTTTTTGTTTTCTACCAGACACCCGAATTTCAACACCTTGGTCAGGTCAGCATGATGTACCGAAAACGAGGAAACCACGACACTTGTCTTTGCGTCTTGTATTTGCATCGCGTCATTAGGTTTCTCAACCTATTCAGTATGTGCTGCGACACTTGTTAGACTAGACATCAGCTCTTTTCGCCAATATGTGTTACCCAGATGCAAGGGAATCGATATGGAGTAGTTGTAGAGTTTTACTTTAGGACTAAAGAAAGCCTATGAGATGTTTGCATCCCTCAACAGCCGTCTTTTTCTGTATTGAATAACGGTAATAGGTTGTTTTGAGTTTATCCGATTTCCAGGGATTTATGGATTGTATCATCCCATCCGATGGGCGGACATCAAGCATTTGTGCTGTTCTGTTACTCAACTTTGGTGCCTCAACCTCGGTCATGAATAGTTACGCAATTCGTAAACAACCGTTCATAAAAAAAATTTGTCGAGCAAATGAGGCAATCTGACGTGATATCGTTACTGATTGATTTCCGAACAATTCTTGCTATATATATTCCGTTGTAGGCAGATTTGCTGTCGTCCGGTTCAATACCACGCCTAACTTATCGGGGCCTTATGTGGTTCACCAAGTCTCGGGGCTTAGGTTACCGGTTTCCATCACTGTTCAACAGGTTTTCGTGACTATGGGGTTTACCCCGTCTGTTGTTCATCACACGAAAGTGCGTAATAAAAAATATATGTAAATTCTTGAGTGGAACACAGACGTATTTCCCAAGTGATCAACTTATTGCGCCCTGCCGAGTTAATATTATCACCATCAGTGTATAGAACTAGTTCGAAATTTTGGTATTCTTACTCTCGAAAGATGAAGTCGTAAAACCCACTCAACTGATTTCGTTATTCAATGTGTTTCTACACTGTTTTGTGTCGTTAGGAATTCATAGTCACTAGTTAAGTTAAACTTAGAACCTACTGTTTTCGATCACTTCATTATTCTGGTCTGGTCACATTTCACGTATGCAGCTAGTTCATGCAATTAGCTGCACTGACTGCGATTGCGATTGCGATCTCCGCTGCCATACTCACCTCATTCTCATTTTTCCTCCTATGTTCTCAGCCTGAAAGTGCGCAATCCCGAGTCATACGGATGGGCCCCAAAAACACTATTGGCTCAGTTGGTTGCAATTTATCGTCACCTAGATTCAGAAGACGGTCAATTCGCACTAGCCTTGTCCAAAGACGAGCGATGCTTTTCAAGGTCGCTATTCGATTGCGCTTGTGTTCTCATGTCTCGTCACAGAATACAAACACCTGAAGAATTGGAGCGTTTTGCACGTCTTGGAGCCAAGGTATGTTTCCCATAATCTCTTCTGGTCCCCTTTTTCACATGTACCATTTCGGCTTCAGTCTAAACCGCTTTTACTTCATGAGAATCCACAAATCGCATTCCTCCGAGAACCCTACAAAGGGATTGGCTATCACATCTTACCTTTTGGGTCAGGCGTACCAAAACCCTATCCGATCGTAATGCACTAATGAGTGAGCTACCAAACGAGTATGAAGGTTTCCCTGGGATGAGGTGAAGTCCGACCGTCAGTTGAGTGAGCTCTAGACTTCGTNGTACTTTGGGCCCTATAGCCTGAGGTTCGAACCCCATCACCGCCACCCAACTTTGGTGTCGTCCAATTCAATACGACGCCTATCGTAGTTGGGCCTAATGTGGTCCGCCACTCAAAGTCCCGCTGTATCCGAATTCCCTTCTTAAACATCTTGACAGGACATGAATCTAGTTAATATGCCCGATCCAATTGGTAACATGTGACGGCCGAAGCGTCGATCCCTTTGTAGAGTTCTCAGAAGAATGCGATTGGTGGATTCTCATGAAATCACAACGCTCAGGTCAGTTCATGAAGTGGGTATCGTTGGTAATTTTTTGATGTTTAAACCAGTACTTTGATACGAACGTGGACAGAAATTTCTTTTCGTCTAATTTTGTACACCCCTGCGGCAACTCGATCTCCATTATCAACGTATGCGAAGCAGCACTTAAGACACGAGAGCGCGAAGTTGACGCACTTGCGAAAAATATTCCGACCAGACTAATGAGAACTCAAAATCCGCAAACAAGCTCGTTTTCGGTGCATCCTAATCATGCCATTACAGTACAATATATGACCAGTTACTCATAGGAATTTCAGAAGGAAAGAAAAGTGAATAAAGTGTTTAACAGTTTGCAAGTGGGGACCAATTATGTTGCAAACTATTGAACATTTTAATCACTTTCCTGCGTAAATCCTTGTATATATTCTATTGTAATGGCATGATTACGATACACTGAAAACGGGCTTGTTTGCAGACTTCGAAATCTCATCGTACGTTCAGCGGGAGCAGAATAATCTTATCACAACTCTCTTCACTACTTTAGTATGTTCCCACAATCTCTGAATAGTTTACATGCGTAATAATTTTGTTTACCACGCGTCATCCTCTGGCAAAGCCCAACACGTTTATGCAACCAATCGCTCATCTGATTCGACAACCGGTAGGTGGTTATTATATTTTATCGATGATTCTAAAAGATTCAAACACTCAAAGGCGATGCACGTGCCGCACTTATGCGCCGAAAACCGAACTTATGCTGGTAGAGGGTTCTCGATGGATAATCATCTCTGTAGAACAATCTGCCGCCATAGGAAATTCCTGTAAGCTGTTCTATCTCATCCAGATCACCGATGGGAAAACTTTGGGTGTGAGCGAAACGATCTGTGAAGCTGACGATTCGCAATCACAATCAACAGCGACATCTTACACGCTGGACGGAGCAATTCTAAGCACAGTTAAGCTGGCCACCAGCGTCAGCTCCTCACACAGTTATTCCGGCACACGTCTCATGGTCTGTCACAACAGACCCACCTTCTGAGGCCGAAATCCTTAAGGGGATCCAAGCCTTGGGACGTCACAAAGCGCCGGGCTCCGGTGGCCTTCCCCAGCTCTATTTAAAGATGATGGAATAAAGCTTGTTAGAGAACTCCAAGCTCTGTTCTCTAAAGTTTACAACATTGAGCAGGTTCCTTCCTCGTGGGGGGTGAGGGGGGGGCATCGATTGTCGTCACCATCTTCAAAAAGGGCCCGCTCAATGATTGCGCCTATCATTGGGGTATAAGCATTATCCCGATAGCGTCAAAGCTGAGGGGCGCACGTCATTCTCCGCCCATTGTACACTACGCATGAGGAGCATACCCGCGAGAAGCAGGCTGTGTTTCGCGCTGGTCGTGGCTGCATCAATCAAACCTTCACCCTCCGACAGTTGCTAGAGCGCCGTCATGCTTACCAAAGAGCAACGATCATTGTATTCTTAGACATTCGTACGGGCTTCGACCCTGTTGATGGCACCGCACTATGGAACTGTTTGTTGAGGAATGGTGTCGGTGTACCTGGGAAGTATTTATCGATCTTCAAAGAGTTGTATCGTCCTACCTCGGATCGGGTTAGGGCCTATGGCCAGCTTTCACCACCCTTCGCCGTCTTCAGTGGAGTCCGACAAGGCTGCGCTATATCCCCATTCCTTTTCAAATTTGTCATAGAGGATGTTCAACAGAATGCTTTGGCCGGTTTGGCAAACGGTGGAATCAAACTCCTCCCAGGGAACAGAGTCCTCGACTTAGAATGCAAAGTGCGACAAGGTAAAATAGGGGTCTCGTCTTCCGGGTTGGGGTCCAAAAAACTTCGTCACTGGAGGGTTTGCAGACACTGAAGGTCATCGCTGCGAACGGACATCAAAGGCGATCATGCTTTCACTTCTTATCGGACCAGACTTCTTGGAATAGTATGTATACACACTGACAGTGTACTCTGTGTTGACCGTAGTGGTTTGCTTTCTTTTCCCGTCCCTAGTATTAGGTTCAATACCTATCCTACTTACACGTTTTGACTTACCATGTATGCAATATGAGTTTGGCACCGATCAGTGAAGTTCGCTTCACCGTATTACGCTGTACAATGATGATGATGATGACTGGTTTGTCTATGCGCTTTGGTGGCCGCAAAAGGATGAGATGCAAACAGCTTGACGTTGTCAAGCTCCACTCTCTGAAGCATGAACCTAAAAATACTTTGAGAGATGAACGAGAAGCCTGGTGGACGCTACGTGCAGTGGAGGTGGAATCATCCGCTGAGTGCGGAAACACTCGGCAACTCATCCGACCTACGGGCCCTAAAAGACGTTAGTGAAACAATCTGTGAAGTAGACGACACTAATCTATAATCTTCATCGACTCGTGGAACGCTGGACAAAGAACTTCATATGGCAGTTCAGCTAGCCCCCCGCGCTGGCGGCTCCAAGCAGTTCTCTTGAGAGTGCACCCTGGCCACTATCCACAGGACCGCCCGCGGCCCTTTTTGTATATGAGTGTAAAAATCGGTTTTTCTCATATGTGCGGTACAGTCGTTTTCCCAGATTTTCGGGAATAGTCTCATGGAGTCTCTTACGAGAACTTCTTCGCCATCCTTAAACAGGGCAGATGACAGGCCATCTGATCCAGCTGCATTGTTGCGTTTCAGGCCTTGGAGTTCCTTTTGTATCTCCGCTCCTGCTTAGTGGCTGGACACCCTAACAGTATCCGTCCACCAAACCCCAATGCATACACAAAATAAAAATAATTCCATACTGCTTCGGTTGTCGCGCAGGATAATCAGGACCGCGCTGCCCATTGCGTCGAGCGGGGTGGGTAGTGATAAGTGGGCTACTGCTCAGATATCCCAACCTTTGTTCAACTCTTTGTCTTCCGTACCCAACCCTCTCCCTTTACCCTCAAGCAACTTGGATGTCGCTTACCAAAGTTCTTTNCTGGGGACCTTCAACGTAAGGACTTTGATGCAGCTAAATCGACAAGCTTGTATGGCTCGTACAATGGAATCCTTAGGAATCGATATTTGGTGCGTGTTGGAAACTCGGATCCAGGATCCTACTACTCTGAGCCACTTGAGCGCGCCAGATTTGCCGACGAGGTACGTTCTTCGCAAATCAGGCGACGATGAAGCTCGTTCAGTAGGTCAGCG